ATATATATCTTTATATATATTGGTGTAAGGGCATGCCGTGCAACATGTACAAGTTAAAGGTAAATATGTAAGTTAACATTATATGTCAAATTCAACTTTTATGATGTGCATCAAAACCAAGACAAGCATCCCCTCTATACAATATTGATGTAAGAAAACTATTATGTAGGGCCGGAGTTAGGACTTTTTGTTGAGGGGGGCCAAAAAACTAGTAAACATGAATAAGGGAGACCAAAATATCAATTGAGTGCTGTGGGGATTTTCAGGGCATTGGGGGATGCCACCCCTGACTCCACCACCCTTAAGGCTATGCACACTTTGCAAGTGGTATAACCATGTATGATATAAGGACTATGGTATTTGAATTTAACTAAGGATAGTTGCCCTGTGGTTTCAAAAGCTACTTACATTTACATATACCTTGTTCACCTATAAATGCTAAATCTAATAGGTAAAACATAAAGGACAAAAGTGTCCTTGATTATTCAATATTAAATTTTCAAAACACAATAAGGCTTAGTTTCTAGAGAGTAGCTTAGCTATCTTAAACGAATCTCAGTCATATATCAACAGCTAGAAGCTACAAGTGTCTCACAAGATAAAATGATGTAGAACCAAGGTGAAACAATTGAGGACCAAGACCTGCATTTCAGATCTCTCTTTCAATCTCTTTCTCAATTGCTCTAAACCAAATAAAAGTCCACCCTCTCTACTTTATCTCAACAAAAACCTCTTAACCAATTCTCTCTAGTATTTTACTTAACTTAGGTGTGCCCTTGTAAATTGATTGCTCCGCCCCCTATTTTTTTCATCTTGACTCTACATAGGGGAGCCACGTACGGTGCATGAGAAGATATGGCATTTTATGAGAAGGGTTCCATGTGAACTTGCATTAAAAACTAGTGTTAATAGTGAGCAGAAGGAGATATGCCATATGGATATGGTTAGAGGAGGCCAGGGTGTAGCATTAAGCAATAATCATAACTGGCTAGGTTCTTGGGGACATTATTAATGATGAGAGAGAAAGAGAGATGGAATTACAAATAATAATAATATCAATAACCCTAAACATTTTTTTAATTGACGACTTATTGGTGCTATGTGGGGCCATTTTACAAGGCACATATAAGGAGTTGATAGGGGTTTTGTCGATTTCTACCTCATAAATTTTATGTATTTGTATGATTGAAATTGGAAACAATGATAAATGAGAAAATCTATCATAATTTAAGAAAAATAATATAACATAGGTGAAGATTTAGGACAAGATGTTTAGAAAACCAATATAATTTTTTGAGGGGAATTGAATAAATCATAAATTTGCAAGAAAATCTTTACTAAAACCAACCTTGTAAAATTTTAAGTTATAATACAAACATAATAAAACTTACCAAACTCCCACTTATAACACATTATTGACAGCACTTCCCCTTATCATCACTCTCCATGAAAGATGATAAAGATTTGTAAGATAAGGGTGGCCTACAAGCTACAACCTACAGGTAAAAGAAGCTAACCAAAATCAAATATCCACTCCATGTAGTAATTAAAAGATATATATATAAAAAAGTCGCCATCATAACACAATCCGTGTCAGTGTCAGTGAGAATGGTAAAAAAAACACGTGCTTGAACCATAGATAAGGTCCAGCCAATAAAATAAACTGCACATGCAAACAGGAAACAAATGATACTATACCTCAATAATTCAGGTGTAGGAGTAGCCATTTGAGTGGACCGTTGGTAGCGTCGGCTCCCACCTCCGATTCCCAATTCTCCGGCGATTGACACGCAATTTTTCATCGCTAGGACGCACACCGGGCCCACTTCCTCATCCCCAACCGCAATGATACAGTCCTATCTCTCTCCTTTACCTTAGGAAAGAAATAAAGAAAAAAATGTCCCGAAACAACATATTCGGACCATTAATATGGTATTTGACAAAACTACAACATGTCTTTTATTTGGTTCAATATTCTATATTTGAACTCTATTTTCTTGTTTAAGTTTGATTCGATTAAATATTCAACAAATTTAAATTCGTACCCCTGATCAAAAGCTAAACCAGTGGTAAAACTTCTATGCCCTACCCCTAAGAAATGGACAACCACAGTCCTTTATCACAAAAGATAAATTAACCAGTAGGTATGAGAAAGAAAGAAACCCATATCTCTCCACGCTAACTTCATTGTAGACCACAATTCTTACCTATTTCTTTGTGTACAAAGGTGCATGAATCAGGAGTCATTTTCTGTATGAAAATGATCTATCGATCACCTCTTGGCTTCTTCGCAATTCCACCACTTCTGTTCTGTGTAAAGGTGGTAGATTCTTTCTTTTCATGAAAAATATGACCATATAATGTTTAAATTTAAATTTACCCCTCAAAAGAATCCAATGACAGTCAGGAAAAGAACTACATCTACAGTTAACGTTGTTATTGTTTTACATCTACCACAGATGTATGCATCAGTATCACCGGTAAGAGCATGGTACAAACTATGAATATGATACGCCTGTTTCGATACGTATATTTTGAAAATGATACGGTCTGAAATGCCTGTTTTCAGGTGTTTCGAACCCCCAATTTTTTTCAATAATAAAAAATAGGTTCTAAATTTTCCAAAAAACCAAACTTAAAAAAAAAAAAGAATTTTAGCTGTTTTTAAGTGCCAATACGATATGGCCGAAATTCGTATCAATATTTTGAACCTTAACTAAGACTAACCAAATATATGAGATGGACTACAACACCCCATTGCCCACATGCCACCTTCCCCAAGTCCCTAAGTAATGATGGCATATATATATATATATATATATATATATATATATATATACTTATTAGAGTTTTTATATAAGGTTTTATTTATTAATAAAATTGAGTTGAGGCTGAGGTGAGCCGAGTGGGGTACAAATATAAGGGCTCCACAACAACTTATGGCCACTAGGGTTGTCGATTGGACTGGATTTGTTCTAATCCAATTCAGTCTAATGTGAGTCCATAGGTCCAATCCAATCTGATGAATAAATTGGATCATTTTGGACCGGTTCAATTCAATGTTTAGACTGTCCAATTTGTTTAAATTCATTTTAATTTAGACTGATTATAATCCAAGCCCGACCCATTGACACCTATATTCTTATCTTATGTCAATGGACTAGATATTGGCTTAATCCAATCAAATCCAATATAAATTTATTACAGATGGACCAGGTCCAGTCCAATCTAATAAAGATTTTGGATCGGATTGGTCCAATCCATTATGTCTTTTTGATCCATCCAATTCATCTAAATTGATTTTGTACTGGACGGGGTCCAATCTAAAACCGGTCCATTAACACCCTTAATGGCCAGACGTTGTCAAGTTTTGAGCCAAAATTCCAAATCAAAGAAGGTTTGCTGCCTCAAAGTATATCTTAGATGTTTAAAAACCAATGTCTTATGCCGTTTCATGTTTTATTTATGTTTTTGAGATGTGCATATTAAATTTAAGGAAAAATCTATGATGCCCACAAGAAGACATGATACTTGGAATACTTTGATGAATAAAAAATCCCCATGTGAAATTTGATAAAATTCATTTGATTGGTTACCGCTTTTATGATATGGGTTGATGGCTTTATGTTTTAATTTCTAGTATCATGTATGTCCTTTCCGTCATTACAATCAAAAGTAAATTTAATTGGGTAGTACTGTTATATATAATAATCTTGTCTTCTCATACATAATTATTTGCTTTAATTGCCACCTACAATTGTTACAAAACACAGCCACGCATGATTGCACGACAAAAGGAAGAAAGCTGTGTGGATAAGTGCCTGCTTGGGAGGGTTTTTATGCAGCCACTTACAATTACAAGGTAGGTCTAACTTGGTAGTTTCTCAGTAACAGTTTGGTCGATTTAGCTCAACCAATCCAAAAACATTCCAAACAGGGTCTAAATTGCACTAATAAGGGATTAGGTATATATAAATTAACAAAAAGCCAAAAAGGCGCAGCACCCTAATCTTCAATGAAGATTCTTCATTTAATAATAATAATAGTAGTAGTACTACTAATAGTAATAACATTATTATTATTATAAATCTTACATATAAATATTCTTCATAATTCAAATCATCATGCACCGAAGTGCACTGTGATTAAAACTTGGAAGAGACATAAATACAATAACCCCAGTGCAATATTACAAATTTAGATTTACTCCTCATAGCAAATCTCACCATGCATTTGGAATATCTCCCCATGAATAATAGCATATAAGTATAAGAAATGTTTTTGATGTATGACTGGGATGTACTGTGAAGTTGGTGCGAGGAGCAGATCAATCCCTTTGTGGAGTGGTGCGATCAGCTGAGGGTGCCATACCAACCACTAAGATAAAGGTGAAGCGACAACCTCTCTCCAGACTATAGACGTGCATAGTCTCTCTCTAGTTGATCTCAACTGAGGGTGAGGGGACCTTTTAATGCTACCACCTAAATAATTATGTTTATGTTCTGTTCACTTTTCGCGAAGTTATTTACCCAGATAAATACATTTATCCTGGTAAGTGTTTTGTAGGAAATACTTATTTGGGTAAATATACTTACCCATATTCTTTTATTTCACAAGTGAATAAGACAATGATCCATAAAAAATCATTATTAAAAGGGGTAATTTTGTCACATCCAAGCGTTTGGCAACTTTTTTCCCAATAGAAAAGTTACTTACCCACTTAGAAGATGGGCATCACTTATCCTAGTAAGTGATACCTGGGAAAAATAAATTTTTCATGGACTCTACATAAATTTGAAAAAAAAGAACATAAATATCTTGGTGAATGAAAACCAAAATCCTATTGACCAATTTTCTCTCATCTCAAAATCCAAAAAACAAATGGATCATTACAAGTATTTAGAAGGAATTAAGGTTAAGGCTTAAGACGTGTATATATATATATATATACTATTTTTTTTGCTATAAATAGGGCTATATATCCACACACTGCACCACCGATGGACAAACTCAGAGTCTCAGTCTCAGTCTCAGTCCCAGACCGAAAGGAGGCAAAGAACCATGGCATCCATTTCTTCAATCCTTCTTCAAGTTCTCGTCATACAGTTTCTGGTAGCACTAGGTGTTTCACAATGTCCGAGCTTCTATTATTTCGGGCAAGAGGTCAGTATGTAGTGTTCCCGGCCGGAGAAGACGACCCTCTTATTGCTGCTGTGATCGATCGATCATCTCTTCTCTTCCATATATATATATATATACTTCTGTCTTGGTCCTTCTAATTAACCCTAGCAAGAGAGGTTCTTTCTTTCAGGTGAGATCGGCGTTATGTGCTTCGACAGAGGGCTGCTGCTTTCCGACGGTGGGAAAGGCCTGCAGATAACTTTACCATTCACGGGCTTTTCCCAAGTCTTAGTAACGGGACGTTGTTGTCCTACTGTGAAGGGAACTGATACGTGCATGCATGCAGCAGCCGAAGACCCGGTCAAAGTGAATAGCAGCAGAAGACCCGGTCATGTTAGCTCTTAGTTGGGATA